GGCCAGCCTGAGTTCCAGGACAGCCAGTCCAGGGTTACGCGGAAAAAACTTGACTCAAAAAGCCCAACAAATAGGACTGGATTGCTCACTGATGCCTCAGCGGTTAAGAGCACTGGATGCCCTTCCAAAGACCAGGGTTCAATTCTCAGCACCCACATGGCAGCTCTCAGCTGTCTATAACACCTGTTCCAGGGGATCTGATTCCCGCATACAGACATACTTGGAGGCAAAACAGCAAGATAAAAGCAATGAAGTAGTTTTTAAAAATAAAAGATTTATTTTTTATATGTGTTTTACCTACATGTATTTATGTGCACTTCCAAGTGTGCCTGGTGCCAGTAGAAGCCTGAAGAGGGTTTCTGATCCCTTGGAACAGGAGTTACAGCGGGTTGCAAGTTACCATGTAGGTGCTCGTAACTGAATCTGGGTCTTCTGCAAGAGACATACATGCTCTTAAACTTACCAGCAAACCCCCACTGCCTTTTTATTACAGGTGTTCTGTAACACTAACTCCACTTCTAGAAATTAAAGCACACATCATCTATTTATATTTGCAAAAAAAAAAAGGTTAAGTTTTTTTTTTTTTTTTAGGACTGGTGCTTACACTATGTAGTCCTGGCTGGACTCAAAGATCCCCCTGTCTCTGCCTCCTGCAGTATGGGGTCAAAGGCTTGTGCCACCACACCTAGCTTATATATTTTACCTTTAAAATTTTAAACTATTATTTTATGTGTTGGATATTTTGCCTGTATGTGTCTGCGCACCATATGTGTGCCTAGTCCCCTGGAGGCCAAAAGAAGGCATCACCTAGAACTGGTGGTACAGGGGGCTGGGGAGATGGCTCAGTGGTTAAGCGTTCTGGCCGCGCTGGGTGTTGGTGGCACATGACTTTAATCCCAGCACTCGGGAGGCAGAGGCAGGGGAAGACCAGCCTGGTCTACAGAGCTAGTTCCAGGACAGCCTCCAAAGCCACAGAGAAATCCTGTCTTGGAAAACAAAAGAGAGACAGAGACAGAAGAGAGAGAGTGCACTGGCTGCTCTTCCCAAGGACCCAGGTTCAATTTCCAGCACCCACATGGCAGCTCAAAACTGTCTGTAACTCCAGTTCCAGGGACACCCTCATACACACATATATGCTAGTAAAACATCAATTCACAGAAAATAATTTAAAAGAAAGAAAAAGTTGGGGGGCTGCAGAGATGGCTTGCTGGCTAAGAAGAGAACTGGCTGCTCCCAGAGGACCCCGTTTCAATTCCCAGCACCCATATGGAATCTCACAGCTATCTGTATCTGAAACTCCAGTTCCAGGGGATCCAATACCTCACACAGACATACATGTAAGCAAAACATTGATGCACATTGAGTAACAAAAAAATAAATCTTTGAGAAAAAAATCCAGTTGGTGGTGGCAAACACCTTTAATTCTAGCACTTAGGAGGCAGAGGTAGGTGGATCTCTTAAGTTTGAGGCCAGGTCTATAGAGTAAGTTTCAGGACAGCGAGGGCTGCACAGAGAAACCTTGTTTTGAAAAAAAAAAAAAAAGCAATGCAATACAAATAAACAAATTAGTTGGGCATGAGGACTTAATGGAACTGTCAGATGCCCTGGGGAACAGCCCACATGAAAAGGACACAGAAGGTCTCTGGATAGAAGAAGGGGAGGAATGTGCTTTCTGAACCAAATAGAACAAAGTTTCTTTTATGTGGGTATCAGAATTCCCAGAAGATGTAGTAAAGACACTTGAAAACTGCACAGCTTTGTATTGAAAGGCAATCGAGTTACTTACAGTCTAGCCTGGAGAATTGAAACCAATTCAGATTCCTCACCTGCAAAAGGCCTGGAACTGTCCTTGCACTCCTGTGATTTGGGGCACTTTGTTCCCTATTACCTTGAAGACCAAACATTTGCCATGCCTTGGAGCTCTCACGTGACCCAGGCAATGGTGTGGTAAGATCTTTCTTATGGAGTTGCACAGGGTGAAAAGGAAAATCAGACACAGATAGACCTCCTATGAAGGGCAGCTGTTAGACTGGGTCTTGATGGGTCTCAGGATGTCAGAAGAGCCGTGGAAGCCTGCACTGCCAGTCCTTTTCCCATCCAAAGCATGTCTCTGAAATCAAGTCCACTACGTAGAAGGCAGGCTGGTGAGGTGTGAGGGGCACAGTGAGAGAGGAAGAGTGGAATGAGAAGAAGAATGAGAACAGACTTAAGACATGGAGCAGCCCCCCCCCCCACCAGGTTGTTGGTTTCCCTATAGCCCTGTTGAGTTCCAGCTGCTCTACTGCACTCTGTCATGAGTGAAAGCATTTTCTCAGACTGTGCCTTGTCCTGGAAGACTATTTTACAAGCATCTTTTTTTTCAGTTATTATTATTATTATTATTGGGGGGCATACATGCCCTGGTATGTGAGCAAGTCAGAGACAACTGTGTGGAGTCAGTTTCCCTTTCGAGGCGATCCAACTTCTCTGTCCAGGTGCTTCACAGGGCTGGAGGCCTGGGGATAGAGCACAGGCTGATCATCAAGGAAGGCTACCAGAGCACAGGAAGCCCCCATTCTGAGCCTGTCTTCTGGTAAGGAAACACAGACAAAACATGCTTTGAAATATTTTTTTAACTACACATACATACAGAAAATACTTAAAAGAAAATGCAAACCACTGGCATGTAAGTCATTTCTAACAACCATAAAAACACCTCTTGCTCTGCTCTTTAGAAAATTATTTTTATTGTTTTGTAAATGTCTCACTTTGGGCAAACTGAGGGGTGTGGGGCTCACAGGAAGTGGGGATGAGACAGGTAGAAGAGGGGGTAGAGGCCTAGATTGGCCTATGCAACCCCCTCTGGCAGCCTCCGCACCACCTACTGAGGCTGAACCCCTCTTCCCATCCTCAGAGACAACAGATAAAGAGCCAGGTTAGGACAGCAAGATAACAAGATTCTGGACACAAGCCAGGAGATGTGATATCCCCTGCCAAATAAAGGGCCTACAATGACAATGCTGAAAGGTTTGTATACCAGGCCCTAGCATAGCCAAGAGACATACTAGTCTTCTTTATGTCTGGTTCCTCTAGGCTGGAAGGCTCAACTGTGCACATGACAGTCATAGTGTAGGGGCCACACTGAGCCTGTCACTGGGAGGCCTTAGCAATTCTCCTGTGTACCTTTAGACATACCCCACTCATAGGTGGGTCTCACCTGGGCACTGCCCCAACCCTATATGGGCACTGGGGTGTGCCTCTCGGCTCCACACACAAATACCTAAAGCTCTGTTGCCTCTGAGCCCCTGCCAGCCCGGCGTCATTCCTCATGCCCACTGTGTCCCAGCTGGCTTGTGCCCATGGGGAATAAGCCTCCTATCCTGTTTCCCCCCAGGAGCCTTTCAGGCTGCCTTCTGTTAGTCTCTCACACATCCAGACACAGGTTATTAGGGCAAGCTGGCTCGGCCCTGCCTTTTCACACCATCACCTTGGAATCTAGAAGTCCCTCTGTTCCCTCTGATTTCCAAAGATCCCCTGTGCCTTCCAGGTGAGCACACTTGAGAGGCTGCCCCTACAGGCAGAAGAAATCAAGGAGCTGTATCTGAGTCAAAGGCCACTGCTCCCACAGATGTGCTGGAATCTGGCATGGGGTCCTTGGTGGTAGACAGAAGCCAAATATGGGCTTTCTCAACCCTCCCGGCCAGGTCACATCTGCAGAAGTCCCATGCAGGAAGCCAAACAAGGTGTTGAGAAACTTTCAGCCTATGAGAAAGCAGGAGGGCCACACTGGCCTACTCCTGGCTCTGCTCAGGAAAGAATAGGGCCTGTACCCTGTATTATAGCTCCTTCTCGCCATTTCTCTGCCCTTTGCCCTCTTGAAGGTCAGGGTGTGTGGAACATCAGTACTGAACCCACATGGCCAGGACTACCCTGTCTCTTAGCTTGGAAGGCACAAGGTAGTTTAGGCCCAGGCAGTTTGCTTGGGATGGTAGGAACTTTGAGGCATGTGGAGGTCTGGTTAGGGCAGAGGAAACCGGATCTTTGGTATTAAAGCAACGAAAAGCTATGATAAAAGAGCCTCATCTCCTAAGCAAAGCCGGCAGGAGCTAAGTCCTACCCTTTTCAGTATCTCTGAGGAACCCAAGGAAGAGAGGACCGGGGCCTAGCCCTATCAAGCATGGCTGCTTCATATTCTGTGAGTCCCTAATACTTGTCCTGCTTCCAAACACCACTCAGAGCATCTGTGAATGGCCCAGCAAGGGGAAGGCCTACCTTGCTCTGCATTGGTCCTGTGATGCCCCCGCCACCATTAAAGGCAGGTCTCACAAACAGTGTCTGCCTCCTTGGCACCCTGAGGACACCTGGCCCTCTCCGCTGAGTCAAGTGAATGGATTATTTCTAGCTAAAATCTCATCACTTAAAGAGCCTGTAGAGTTTAATTTTTTTTTTCTGGAAGAGACAGAATTTCACCCTGCATTCCGAAAACATTTGCTGAGCCCTACTAGCCAAGTCCTGCTTCTCTGAGTGGTCAATGGCTGGGGGGGTGGGGGTGGGGGGAAGGACCCCTCTCTGGCTCACTGGCCAGGCTTTAGTCCCAATCTCTAGTAAGACTGTGGTGGAGGCAGTGCCTCTTAAGTCTCTCCTGGGGTGCACATATAGGTACAGAATCAGGGACAGGACAGGTTCTGATCACCAGGCCAAACCAAATCTCCCATGAAGTCCATTCACAGCCACACCTTCCCCTCCAACAAAACAGAAAGTAGGAAACAAGGCTGCCTTTTTAATTGCAATCAAATATGCTGTCTGAAGTTAGCCAGGGCCCCTGAGCCTGGCCAGGGAACCACCGTGCCACCTCGATGTGAGGATGGGAGCTGGGGTAAGGGTGGTTGGCTTCTTGCCCTCCTCACCACCTGTACCTGAGGTGCCCAGAGTACTGTTTCCACTGTGGTCAGCCCAGCCTCTGGCTGCCTGCAGGAGGTGGGAGGCAAAGGGGAGGAAGGTGAGCCAGAGGCAGGGACCCCGTTGCACACGCATGCAGACTTTCTCAGTGTTTGATTTTGTTTGTTCGCCTCTTTTGCTAAAATGATCAGATAGTTGTGTGAAGCTGCTGCCAAGCCAGGGAGGGGTGGGACAGCACTACTGGACTGCAGCCCTCTGCTCCTCAGGTGGTCTGGGCCTGTCCTACTTCTGTATTTGGAACAGGAAGAGCCGCAGATTAATGTTCTTGGCAGCCAGCAGCTTGTTGCACTCCACAGAGTCGATGATGGGCAGCGGCACATAGTCTGTCTCATTGCTCTCATTGGTGAAGACAAAGTGGTAGATGACAGGGCTGATCCTCACATCATCGTATGGGCCCTTGAGCAGAAGAAAAGAGCACTCCAGGGGCGCCGTGACCTTGCTCTTGAGGAGTAGCTGGAAGGAAAGTGTGCGCTTGCACGACAGGTTGGGGTTGCGCTCCGAGTCATTCACACGAGCCTTCAGGACCCATGTCTGGTTCAGTACTGTGAACCGTGGTGTTTCATAGTACAGGCGTGTAATGAAGTCATCAGTGCGATAAGGCCGGAACTGAACCTCTGTGGAGACAGACAGGGCCAGACAGCCAACTGTTAGTGCTAGGGAGGGCCAGGGGGTGGCGCCTTCCCCAACAGGCCAAGGACGGGCTCAGCCAGGGAGGAAGGCAACTTACCCAGACAGTGCGTTCTACTTGTCACAAGGTAAGTCAAACGCAATTATGGCAAATGGAAGTGCGCAAGCTTTGGGGGAACAACTACAAACAGAATTAACACCAGTTAGCTGGAGAGTCCTGAGGCTGTGGGACATTGGGCCACGTGGCCCAGGTGTGGCCAACCCACAGTGCCACCCTCCTTACCCTCAGTCCCCTGTCCCCGAAGGGGCGGGGTAAGCAGACACACAGACAGGATACAGTTCTGAGAACAAGTGCACTTTATTGGTTCCGATACAGAGCTGCTAGAAAAGCCAGCAGGTGGGCATATGGTCTCTGGTCCTGCCCAAGGGGAGTGCCAAGTCCTTGATGTTGCACTGTGATGTGGATTCTGCCCAGCTGTCTGTGGAGCTGTTGTTTAGCAGGCAGACCTGCCTTTGCAGTCCTGTGGCTGGCACATCCTGCTGTGGATGTATGGGCTCTTAGGCAGCCAGTCCTTCTTTCGTGGACAGGGCTTCCCACCCAGCCTCTGCTGTAGCCACATGGCCTGGCCCACCCAGACCCCACAGGCCATGAGATAAGCCAAGGTGACTCTTAACCAAGACCCAGAGTTTTCTGCTGATGCAGGCCCCCTGGGCCCTTTGCATCTCAGGCCTGTTTGGGCTAGTCTAGGCAGCATGGCATGACTGACTGTCCAAGACTGCCCTGGGTGCTCTGAGCTGGCCACCTGCTGTAGGCTGAGCAGAAGAGGGAATGAAGTTTCCCTGAGTGACCCCAGTATCAGCAGGTGCTTCTTGTTCTCTGGCCCAAGTTGTGGGCTGGCTCCTGCTCCCCGTCATGTTCAAAGCTGGTGGCAGATGCCTGGGAGCCATGAGATCCAGTGAGCATAGGCCTGGTCCAGCCTACTCATTTGTGGGCATCCACTCCCAGTTCTACAGTTTGAGCTGAGACCCTCAGCTTGTTCTGGAACCCTGTTCAAGCTTCTTGCCAGCCTCAGGAGGCCTTGTGGCCTTCAGTAAACATCTGCAGACAGGACCTGACTTGATGGAATGTTCTTCTTGCTCTGTGCTCCAAAGGTAAGGCCCCAAGCTCCCAGACTGTCCAAAACATACCTAATTTTCTAGTTAGACTCAACACCCCAAATCTGTGGAGCCCCATACAGTAAGGGGGGGTCATCTTGCTGGGGTGGTGGGCGGAGACAGGGAGGACAGGTGGGAAGGACCTCTGTAAGAGCCATGCAGGTGCATCCCTCCTGCTCAATCTCCAACCTATCTTCTTCCCCAAGCCATCCTCCTGTCCATCTAGAATGTGTCCTGAGCCTGGCCATCGGCGCAGCCTGTGCCCACTGCCCAGAGTCTACTGCCTCCCCAGATCTTGGCTGCCAGCCCTCTAGCCCCAAACAGTACCTGTGTGGCATGCAGGGGAATGTGGGGTGCCTCACCTGTGTAGCCAATCTTCTCAAAGCTGAGCAGGCTGAAGATGCTATTATAGAGCTGCATCTCCTTGCGGTGGCTCTGATCCATCTCATCTAGGATTTCCATCAGCTCATTGCCTGTCTTGGTTGGGTGAGCACATGCAGCTTCATGCACTGTCAGCTCATGGAAAGGGCCGTGCCATGGGCAGCCAATACGCTTGTACTTGCACTGTGTTACCCTGGAAGGAGTTAAAAATAGTGGTCAACTCTGTGGCTGGGTCAAATGGCCATGCCCAGTAGTCTTTCAGAGGCTACTTCTGCCCAACCACAAACCTTTTCCTGTAGGACACAATGAATTGTGAGCCCAGCCACTTAGAGCACTTGTAGGCATGTATGTGAAAGAGGCAGGGGAGACTGAAGGAGAGAGAAGCACTAGAGCTGTTAGACAACACGCCTTCTGTGCACAGGACTGAAGTCTCTCTACCTAGAGGTAAGTGGCTGCTGACCATGACATTAGACCCCACCAGTCTCATTCTAGGAAAGCTCTTGGTGCCAGGGCCTTGACAGGCAAGTGGCTGTTTCTATGTGCTGGGACTGGGTTGCCAAACAAAAGAGTCTCACTCAAACTTTCTAGAGCTTTCAAACTGATCCTGCTTTACTGAACTTTGTAAGGATCTACCTAATAGCTACAGAGAATCCGAGATGGTGACCATCGTATCCATAGAGCAACTAGTGTAGACCCTGTCTTCTATAGAAAGGCATGCTCTTACCACGTGGGCCTACAGGGTTATCACTGGGCTGCATATGTGGTCCCCAGGGCCCAGCTAACAAGGTCTGACCAGATCACAAGGCCACGCCTTCACCATGGTTACCTGTCCTGGCATTCCTCTTTCTGGTGCCTCTCTAGGAGGGAGCGAGGGAACTGACGAAGACAGAAGCCACACTCTGAAGGCAGCTCGCTCACAGCTTTCTCCACGGCCAGGTTCCGGCAGCAGAGGCTCTTACTGATCTCACAACGACAGTTGGGACATGTGGCCTGCTCCTCCTTCAGCCGGGCATCTGCTAGTAGGTGGATAAAACAGCCAGCGCACATCAAGTGACCGTTAGTACACTGCGAAGAAGGAAAGGGAGGTGAAGCTCACAGACCTGTAGGATGCGTGCACACACACGTGCCCACCCACACTTGCTGGCTTCAGCCAGATCAGTTGTCCTGGGGGTTTTTAGGTAAGGAGAGTAGAGGAGTACCCACTACTTCCCAAGTCTTGCTGGTACCTAGCAAACACTGAGAGCAGCTTAGGGGTGGGGTGTCATTCCAGGACAGAGCTAGCTCAAGTTTTGTGAAGAGCAGGGCCTTATCAGGTTATGGGGGTCCTGGCTACATCTAAAGCAGTCCTGGATGGCAACTGACTTGACCACATCTGGGCTCGGAACCTGGCTTTTCCACTTGTCCCATCATAGAACCTGGCTTTTCCACTTGTCCCATCATAGAACCTGGCTTTTCCACTTGTCCCATCATAGAACCTGGTTTTTTGCTTGGCTTGGCAGGAGTACCCAGCAAGGTGCTCATGGGGTCGTGGTTGCTGCTGAGGCAGGCATTTACCCCTTGGCTTCCGAAAGGCTGTTCATGTAGGGACTGGAAGTGGCTCAGGCAGAGATTAACCCTGGCCCCTCCATACCAGCCCTTGCTGATAACACAAGTGAGAACCAGCAGTTGCTTATACCCAGGGAGGGCAACTACCTACTGGGGTTGCTCCAGAGCCAATGGCACAAAGCCTAGAACAGGCAGGAGGCTAAATTGGCTCAAATTGAAGGTAGGTGGCACTTGGTACTGAGTTGGGCTGATATAAGATCAATGGGAACAGACCTACCAGTTGGAGGTTCTTGGTTACACAGACAAAGACAGTTAGAACCTGGGTCTCTTACTGAGTCAATATACACTGAGTACCATTTGGTGCCACAAAAGATACTAGATCAGCTGAGAACCCTATAGCAGAGTGAGCTTCCACTATGAGAGAGCCCTCTCATACTAAGAGGAACTCAGCGTTAAAGGGGAGACCAATAGCCAGGTGTGGTAGTGCACACCTTTAATCTCAGCACTCAGGAGGCAGAGGTAGGCAGATCTCTGGTCTACAGAGGGAGTTCCAGGACAGTCAGGTCTACACAGAGAAACCCTGTTTTGAAAAACAAAACAAAAACATAATGAAGAGAGGACAGACAGACAGACAGACAGACAGACAGACAGACAGACAGAGAATGAGTGTGTACAATATATCAGCCCTACCATGTAGACAGACAGACAGACAGACAGACAGACAGACAGACAGACAGACAGAGAGAGAATGAGTGTGTACAATATATCAGCCCTATCATGCTGAGGCTGCTCTGTACAGTATAGTGTGCATTAGGGAAAGACACATACATAGCCACTGCCTGGCCTTGACAGGAGGCTACTTCTGCATAACTGCCATGCTTAATAAATTTTAGCTGCCACCTTATTGCTTTAGCAGGCTCTCTGAGCTCTCAGTGAATGATGGGATTTACATGCTGAAGACTGATGGTGATAGAAGCCTGATGAAAAACCCATGTCCACAGGGAAACCACAGGATTATTTACAACCAAACCTAAGTTTGTTTGAAAAATTAAAACATGAACTATGAGAGTAGCCTGGCTAAGCTGGGCCTGGATGAAGAGGACATAGCAGGGGCCAGCCAGAATGTGGGCTACCTGAAGTGGAGATGGAACAACCAATCTGCTGTGTCCATCCCTAGAAGTCAATGGGAATGGGCTCAAGACTGGATCTGGGTATAGATGAGGCAGGTGCTGACCAAGGGCCCAAGTCACGGTCCTTTTATACCCCATAATCTGCCTGGGGACTTCTGGGACAATAACTACTGTTCCTTCTGAAAGGCAGGAGCAAATACAATACAAAATTGAATGTTCAAGTGTTTCAGAGAGGCAATCTCAGGATGCCCCATAGACACAGGTGTACCACATAGCATCCTCCAAGAACTCTACCTAGAACCAGGAGTGATATAAGCGCAGAACTCAGGAGGCAGAGGCAGGAAGGACAGTTTGAGGCCAAGACTGGAATACAAAATGATTTCTGGGCCAGACCCTGTCTTAGAGAAAAATAAGAGAAGTTCACCCAGCAAGACACTGGCACTAAAATAGCCAAGGACCTTGCAGCCCGACCACTCTACATGCTTGAGTCACTTTCTGGTAAGAAGCTGCCTGAGATTTAGATGAAGCTCTGGGCCCAGGTCTGCAGTCACTTTTAGGGTTTATGAGCCTGAGTAGAGAACAACAGTATTTTTCCTGGTTGCAGCCTGAGCCTCTCAAGGTTTCTATGCCAGGCTGTGGATACCTGGTCCAAATCTCAGCCAAGGCAGACTTGGAAAGGAGCCCCGGTCCCTCCCTCCTAATGGGAAGATGAAGCTGCCAATCCTATCACCACTTTTCAATGTCACTCCTGCTCCCAAACGTGGAGGCCAACTAAGCGTGAGCTAAGTCTAACCACAGGACCTATTCTCCTGGGAATCCCAGACTCAGATCAACTCCACAGCACAGGGAGGCGATGCCTACCCTGCTTTCCTCTGGGAAAGTCTGCAAGGTGTCAGAGCCTTGGCAGTTAAGCTGAGCGGCAGAACAAGCCCCAGGATGTTCTGTGGCATACTGGCCCAGCCAAGAGCCAAGGTACATCCTCTTGGAGCCCCTCACCAGCCATTCAAGGGATGGTTTCTAGGTAAGCTCTATATAAACAATGCATAAGTCTAGCACCCTCCTGTAACTTCCTGAGCAAGAGCTAACTTCAAATGTAGATCTAGGGCAGCCATATTTGGCCTTAGCTGGATAGACTGTGCCTATCCCCTAACTTGTGACTGCTGCCTATTAAGAGACTTGGCCACAGATGACTCCACAGCGCCAGCTCCAGTTCCTAGGCACCTCCAGAAACTACTTCTGCAATGGCCAGTCCAGGCTGCCATCCCACCATCAACCAGTTAAACTCTGGACTTATATCCAATATAACACTGTAGGTCTTTCCAGGCCCTGCTGTGACAGATACTGATTTGGAGCTCACAGGGTTGAGCTTTTCCCTCAGCCTATAGGTCACCAATAGCATGACCTTGGACTTACCACCTTCTCTCTATTGGTCCCAGTTTCTTTCTGGGCACAGGATGAGGTAAGAGAGGCTAAGCCTGACACTCAGATTATAGAGTTTCTGCAGTTATATATGTTTAAAGCCGGTGGAGATCCATCCCCAATGGGGCTGAGGCCCTAGGTTCCTCTAAATTGTCCAGACATAGTAATTTGCTCCTAAACTTCCAGGCCAGCACCTAGCCCTTTCATCTACTGACCTGCAGGCAGCTTGCATGTGTTCAGACTGTGCACACATACCTAGGGCAGGAGTGTTCCTTTTGGACTGGACTCTTCTTTGGGTGAAAGGAGCTAGATGGAGCAGTTATGCTCATGAGAACCCCTGCCCCTGAGCTTAGAAATGGGTCCCCCACAACTTAGAGTTGGTTTCAAGTTCCCTGTGGTCAGTCGGCCTCTTTCAAGCCTAGAACACAGTCCTCGCAAACACAGGGGGCCCAAAATATTATGGATGGTACCCAGACCCATATGAACAGCCTACCCTCCACCTTAGGGCATAGTGGGCTCACAGAAGCCACTAGTACCCAAATGCACTAACACCAAAGTGCCACTCAGCCACCTGGAGGCTCTTCTTCTCTCTAGAGCCTTCCATGGTGTCTTAGATGCAGGTAAGGCTCCATCAGGCCTAGTGGCACCTTGGGGCTTGACCTAGCTTCTTGAACTTCCATAGTTAAGCATGGGCCTGAGTCAAAACTGGCTCCTTGTCCATGGGTACAAAACCAGGATGGTGGAAGCAAGAATAAGAACCTTCCGCTCAGGATGGAGTTGAAGTTCTAGACTAGCCATATCCAGGACTCAGGTGGGGCCCAGCAGTCTCCCAGAATGTGGCTTTTACTCAGAAATGAACACTGTTTAGATTTAAAACGTAACTCAATATAACAAACTATCAAAACACACACACACACACACACACACACACACACACACACACACACACACCCAAAGCCTACAGTCCTTCCTTGGATACCTAAGCAGACCCTTTCCTGAGACTCTTTCTTGCCTCAAAGAACTAATCGGGCTGGAGAGTTGGCTCAGCAGTTAACAGCATCTGCTGTGGCTCACAACCATCCATAACTCCTGTTTCAGAGGATTTAAAGCCTTGTTCTGACCTCTGCAGTGCCAGGCACATACACGGTGCACATACATTCATGTGGGCAAAACACTCATGCACATAAAAATAAGTAGAAGTGGGAAGAGGGAGAAGAAAGAAGCACCATTTTTGTCAGTGCCAGGGGACCCCAGGCCATGTGTATGGTAGCCCCTGGACACCAAACAATCTCAGAAGGGGTCTTGGGCAGAGATGGAACAAATGTTTTCTAGGCCCTTTCTCAACCAGATATCCAGTCTCCCATATTCAGAGGCAAAGGCAAAAGAAGAATATATCAACCACCTTCTGGGCAGAGTAGGAAAGGGTAAGAATCCTTGTTGAAGGGAGAACAGAAGCCCCCAAGATGGGTTTCATTACAGTCGGGCCCAAGAGGAAGCAAAGAGGCAGGGAGGGATTTAGAAAGGGCAGCTCCAGTGGAACACATGTAGGAGAGCAGTGGAACAGTGACACAGGGCTGTGGTCACAGGAAGTGTCTGGGCCCATATCAGATACAGCTGGATTCACTGTGTTCCGTGACAGAGGCCCACTTAACTGATCTCCAAACAGAAAAGCTTGTGAAGGGTGGAGGAAGGAGCAGTATCTTTGTCAGATGCAGTGCTAAGAGGCTGACCCTGTTTGACACCCAAAGGAAAAGGTCAAGGCTGGGTCTATCTTCAAACATCCACACTGGGCTGCACGTGAAGGACTGCAACAGGAAAGCTAGGAGAAGTAGGTCAGGGCTCAGGATATGGCTACAACATCCCAGGCCAGGACTCCCCCAGACAAGGCACTTCCATGTGTAGTTACTGACTGGGTACATTGCCCTCTGGCCTCATGAATACACCCAGAACTGTCTGCCCATCTGCCCAGTCTGGACTAGCTAGAAGTTCTTGTGTGGATTTCCCTCTGGCCTTCATGCCACCTACCAGGCATCTGCCATAGTGCTTGCTTGGCTTTGGAAGGGCCCACCCTAGACTGAGGAAGGTGGCTACACACCTTGCTAGGCCAGTTGCCCAGGATATACCTAACACCCACACAGAGAACATCAAAGCATGCACCCTTTGTACCTGCTGCAGCACCTGACACAGGCCCCAGGGATAAGAGCTACTTGGTTGACAGCCTTGGTCAGACAACCTGAGCAAATCTCCTAGTCTGTGATATGTCAGTGCATGAGTATGGCCCCTGGGAATTGGCCCTGCAGGTCCAAAGGCTATCTCAGGACCAGGTGGATGAGCCCACACATATAACCTGAATCTATAGCATATGAATGACACACTCTCAAGTTACCACATACCCCAGCCAGCCAACTCCAGCAGCCCATGGAGTTTTCCCCACACTCAATGCCAGGCATAGCATGGTTACCCACTTCTTTCCCCCAGCAGAGCCTCTGAGTCAGCTCCCAGAATGCACAGCATGCCTGGGGCCACCTGGAGCCATGTGTTCTGCTGAGGTCAGGAAAATGTTGCCAGCAAAAGCTGAAGGTGAAAACTCGCCTAAAGAGACAGCCCATCAACATGCGTTAGACAAGAAGGCTAGCAGAAGATAGAAGAGCTGAGCTCAGGCAGAGGTGGTGACCAGCAGTGGATCCTGGCCAGGGATACTGATATCTGTGCCCAGATCCTGAGAAGACTAGACAAGAACCGTGAAGAGGCCTGTCTGGTACCTTGGCAGGGACAACAGGACCCCCGGGAGCTGTACTGCACTTCTGGCAGCATTCTGAGATTCTAGGAAACTTCCTTCCTCTTGCTGCACTCCCATTTTATATATTATCTGTGCATAGGCAAAATTCCAACATTTGCCCAAGGGCACTTTCAAAATCACATATTCTAGAAAATTCTCCCAGTCTTTGCAGGTAACAGGGAGATATCTTTGCTCTAGGCATTTACCTACGCAGAAAGATGGGAAGGGGGCTAGTGGCAGTGCCTACACATCACTGTCAATGCCCATGGCTCCTCTGAGTCACTAAGTGTGCTCCAGGAACATCCTGGCTGCCTTCAGCCTGGGACAGTACCTGGGAAGGCAGCCCCTCCACTCACATCACTCTTATGACACTTCCTTGGCTGCCTGACTCTAGCTGCCCAAGCCAGAGCAATTCCTAACACAGTGTAGAATGGTTTGGACCAGCTAGGCTCATTAGTCACTCTGGGAAGAAGCAGACTGTAGCCCTCTGTGAAGACCAGGAGCCAGGATCATGTGGCCTATCACCATGCTAGGAACAACCAAGAAATCCCTGGGTTCTTTGGGATCCCTTTCCATTGGCTTATCTTGCTGGACTCTCACTCAATCCTAGGAAAGGATGAACTCTTCCATTAAGAAGAACCAAGAAGCCAAGATAAGAAAAAAAGGTTGTGAACAGGTTCTGATGGCCCCTAAAAAGAGAGGTAAATACTGGTGTTAGAGCCAGTAGCTGTAGGAAATGTACCCCCAGTTGGCCCAGTTGACCTAAGAGGGTGAGTGTCCCATCCAGGTCATTGGAATCCCTCCACACATCAACAACCTCAGGCCAAGACAAGAACATAGAGATCCAACGGGTGGGAAAACAGCTTCACAAACTAGACCTATACTGGCCCTCAGCCAGGTCCCTCAGTCTAAAGAAAAGCAGGGAAACAGGCCTCACCAGCCACTTGCAGCTACTGTAAATACAAAGAAAGCAGACAGAGGCTGGGAACTGAGGTGGAAAGAGACCAGGAGAAGGTAGACAGAGATCTCCCACTGAACCAGAGGTCTGCTCTCTTTTACCAAGGAGAGGGTTGTTAGGCCCACACAGACAAGTACCCTGAGTCCTACTGGCACACCGGGTCTTCAGATGGGAAGGGTTAGGATAAAGTTCCTATGCACTGACAACCTTGGAAGCCAGCTAGGCATGAGTGAGATGAGCCCGAGTAAAGCAGGTGGCTTTACCAGATTAGGATTGGGAAAGGATGAGCGGCCCTTCCTTCTTCCAGTTCTTCAGAAGGAAACAGGGCTTCACAAGGCATAGAAGGAGGTATACTTAGTTGTTCAGGCATGGAAGGACACTCTTGGGGGGGTTGTGTGGCTGCCAGAATTGGAGCACTATCTCCAGTTAAAAAGCTTTTTCTTCCTCCAGGAGGTCTAGAAGTGAGGGGCAGTGTTGATGAGCAATAGGAAAGGTGGGCGTGCACCCGTTCACAGATCTCTGTGAGGTCAGCTGAAAAGGGTCTGGAATATGTCAAGGAGGGCACCCTGGAGGAACCAGAAGGTGCAAACAAGAGATCTAAGGAGGGGAAAAGAAATTCAGACGGGGAAGTAAAGGGTACCGTGGAACACGGAAAATGAGATTCAGAGCAAGAAAAGACAAGGAGCCTCGCCGGCCTGGAAGGATGTTTGGATAGAAAAGGGTTCCCGGCCACCCCCCCCCGGCCTCCCGCGCCGCGGCGC